CATCTCTGATATCACTACCAGATATTTGATTTGTTTAGCTCTATAGATTCGATTGATTCTCACGTGAATTGTATATTTGACTACATCAGTAAGATCTCGTTTGTATATGTCACGCATGATGAAGAGACATTAAACAGATATCGATGTGTTCCGCATCAGTCCTGTCTTTCAAGGCCATATTTCAGTTTTCGAAATGCCTGTTTGATATTCTTCCAGACCAGCATTCGAGTTAATTAGGACACACAGCTGTGGTTTCGTCGGTGTGCTTGACGCAGACTTTGCGGCGTGAGTTCGTATGAAAGTTTTAAACGACAAGTTGCAGGACAGCCCTGAAATACACGGTTATTCTATTTGGCGGTTGAAATTGCCTTAGCAGCTCATTCAGACCGCATCCGATGCCTAAACTAGTTAGATAGCGAGTTAACAAGTTTAAGGATCGACTGAGAAATGTTCTGTTGTGCAGAGTAATCTGTAGGTTTGTAGGCTGACTTAAAGTCAAGAAAAAACGTACGTACTGTACAGGATCCTTTGCTCAGGATGCGGGGTAACATTATCAGTATGAATAGCGATTGCATCAACTCTGTTTTAGCATGTAAGATAAGGAAGCTGAAATTTATGAAGTTTATCCAACTGAAAGCTACAACCTTCACAAATGCAGACTTAAACGAGGGGTTCCGTTACTTTAAAAGTAACCGAAAGTGTCACCACTAGCCTGTACTGATCTGGATTCGTCGATCGGTTGTTTTGGGTATTGAAGTACTGATCCGGTGACACGCCTCAAATCAGGAATAAGACTATGCGACAGAGATTGGTTGAAGATAGAACACAGCGTATATTTAGTACCAACAGAAACATCTTGAGCATCGCTGCTGACAGTGTATTACGCCATACGAGACATTACCTTTGAGACGGAAGGGTATTTTTAAGTCTCCCTTTCAGCGAAGGCCCTTACTGATTCGTGTGGAGTTTGCGTAGAAACAGTGACTGTACGAATCGATATTCGAATGAGCTTTCTTCGAAGTTCAGAGCGTTAGGGTCGAAGGTGAGGACTTTCTTATGGTTATTGTAGCCACATGATGTTCAGGTACCATTCCGGATGTCTTTAATTGAATGGCCAGGCTTGAAGATGCTTGAGTGGAAGGCTTGATTCATTTCCAGCTGATACGACAAGTAATTAAGACAAACAACGAATATCAGCTTTATCCCTGTTTGGAGGTGGTCGACTTCGAGAAGGCCAGCACTGGATTCCTTGAGAAACCAAGGGACCGAGGTAAAGTGAGAGGCCTCGTCGCCATGATTTACAAGAATTTTACTGCTATTGCAATGCTTTACGAAAGCAATGCAAGTTCGAAATTGAAACTGGCGTCCGGCAGGGGGACGCAGTATCGTCAAAGTTGTTCGTAGCAGCTCTAGAAGAGGTTGTCAAGGTCCTTTGTTG